TATTTAAGTCTTGTAAAGTAGTAGCAGTCTGGTAGCGTTTTATTATGAGCACTGTACTAAAACAGCATGCGGCTTTTCCCTACAAACTTTTTTTTTTAATGGCCGGAAATCCTCATGGACTGCCTCCGCCTGGGGAAAGGCGGAGGGGTGTGCCGGACTCTAACCGGCAATTTTTTTTCTTGGACCACTCCTAAACAGTGGACTAATGCAACGTTATGTATCCACCCCCATAACCTCTGTAATTGTGAGAAAATTCTCAAGAGATGTCCTATGAAGACACAGAGATGTTATTATTAGTTTCTAAATAATAATTATAGTAAGCTGCTGAATGCTGATCTCTTATTTATGTACTGCATACTCTTTGTGTACATATTAAGCATAGAATATAGTTGACCGCAACTTCGTCCGCGTAGAAAAATTACTTGTGGCAGAATTCATCAGAGTCGATTCATCGTCAAGTGACATTTATTGTAAATTAAAATTAATTTATCGTGGCTTCAAAAATATATAATCCCGCAGGGATTTTACCAGTACACTGCCCGTTCCCGTAAGGTTTAGGTGATAACTACTATTCTATGGACTATTGTTGTACACTTGTACCAAATCTCACTAAAAATAAGCCCCACAACTCTATGTCTTAACCGCTGTGTTAAGATAGAGAGTTCCGGGGCTTTAGCGCATAGTTCCCGTTGTCGCGGGACTTCTGTAATAAAAATCTAACCATGTAAAAATCTATCATATTCATACATTGTTTCTCAGGTTTTAACTATCGTTTTACCGAATTTAACTCAAAAATATTCAATTATTCTGGATTCAATAGATTCAATGGCTAAGAAGATTAATTTATTCAAACTCTCATCCCATATTTTATCTCCTTAGGGTGGATTTTATGAAAATCGTTTCTTAGGGGATGCTTGCGTTATAACAATCTACCTGCATGCCGAATTTCAACCCGATCGGTTAAAAACTGACTAAATTTCAAACAAACTTTCATCCCCTTGGGGGTGGAAATGATCAAATTCGTTTCTTAACGAATGCCTAGGTCATAACATCTACCTGCATTGCAAATTTCCGTCCGGTGGTTTGGGCTGTGCATTGATAAATCACCATGTCGGTCAGTCACCTTTATGTATATACATATATTTAATAATAATATAATTACACAAATACTGTGTCATAATTTGGCTCAACTTATTAGCATTTAAGTAGGTAGGTACTTGTGATTAAAAATTGACGTGTCAAAGTGCTGCCTTGTAGCCTATTTGCAGAAATAAATTAACTTATTTCACTCACTTGTTTCACTTCACTTGTTTCACTATTATTTAACATGTTTATTTTTACCTTACCTCACCTGAACGATAGGTGTTCTAGTTCAAGCATCATTCACTTATTGTTCATTTTAGATAGCTTTAAGCTAAACTGTACATTACTAGAGTATTGTCTGAAACTAAATAAAAAACATTACCCTACTAGCATCAACCAGAGACGAGATCGAAACATCTTCGGCAGTTAAAAGTCACAGTTGCGGAAAACCTATTGTGAGGTAGTGAAGCATACACTTGGGCTCCACTAAATGTTTCTATTCCCGTAGTGATCTAATTTGAGAAAAAATATGTATCTCAACACAATCTAGTCAACACAATCAATTTAGGTATACATACATATAAGTGACGTTGCATGACGTCACCACTAGTTTTAGCCTGTGGGCTGTGTGTGACTGCGAGTTCAGTTGCGGAGTGCAGAAGATGTGAGAGGGAGAAGGCTACTCTACTACTTCGCACTGTACTGTCAACAAAATAGAGCCGCGATATAATATTAAAGACAACTTTATACCAGTCACTTACCTCAGTCTTGCTGTCAACAACTAGCTGTTATAGGTACGTCTTATTGAAGAGTTATCAGTTTTAAAAGACTGTATGTTGCTTCATCGAGAAGCAGAATTATTTTGTCTTAGCCTATATTTAGTGTAAATCAAGAAGATAATAATTTGTAAAGAGTTAGCAGCCGTGACGAGCCGGTAGCATGCAGGGCAACACATGAGACGTACTGTGGCGGTGACGTCGACCTTGTCGCATTCAAGTTGGGGTGCGGCGCGCGGCGGCGGCGGGCGCAGCGCGAGGCCGACCAGTGCGGCGCGCGAGGCCACCCCTTGTCTCCGCGCCGACGCCGACGCCGACCACCGCACGCGACTGAAATAGCTCGCGAGTCGCGACTCGTGACTCACGCCGCGCTGCGTCACATGACCGACCGCGACCTGCTCGACACTCTTCCACCTGCTGCCAAATTATAATGCTCGCCGGAAGCGGAAGGGCACCGGGCACCCGGAACTAGAACAAGCAGGTTACACAGTCGCTCAGCGCTCACAAGCTTGCGTTGACCATGGAAATGAATTTGTTTACGTACTCTTGCGGATAGTTGGCCGGCTACAATCTTACGATTTGTGGATTTATTTATAAACGTAATCAAATATTATACCTACAGCCCAAACCCGGAACAAAAGAAAATAACACAAAGAAAAATGCACAGTTACGCAATCGAATCTGCGACACGTTGTGCAGGAACTGGTCAACTCAGCGGGCGGCGACGAGCCAAGACCTTGCGGGTCGTAATTTCATGGAGACAGTTACGAACGCGGGCATAGTTCAGTTGTTTGTGGCAGTCTGTCTAACTTAGTCTAACTGGTAATTTATTCGTCAAGAGACCCCCCTCTAAGTAAATCAACCATAGTTTGCTCTTCCGTTTGTGTATACTGACTCCCCAGCACAATGTACCAAAGTCCCTGTATTAATAGATGCAGGTAATATATCTAATAATCCTCGTTTGTGTTGTGTGAGACTGAGTGTGAGTACTGTGAGTGGCAGAGTCGGAGGCGCAGTGCTGAGCGCGGCTTGTTGCAGGGGCGGGCGGCGGGCCGCGCGGGGTCACGCCGGCGCTGCGCGACGCCCTGCGCACTGTCCGCGAGGCGTGGGCCGAGCCGCGCTCGCTGCTCAGTCGCTGGTCAGTACTACTCTGCTGCCACTAGCCTCGCCCCGCACTAATCACATCGACTACTGTAAACCAGAACTTACTTATACGATATGCACGCATATGTACTCATTGCACTCGTACTACAATATGTATGTATATGGCCGAGTGCGCATCGCAACCGTGTCAAGTGCCCACATAGCAGCCGCTCGTGCGCGACTCGACTAATTATGGAATATATTCGCGCCAGTCAGCTAGCGGGCGCGCGCGCAGTCGGCCGCAGTGCGCTTGTGTTTGGAACATACTGTACTCCAGGGATGCGGGTGCACAAAGTTACTCAATAACACGGATGCTGCGCTAGTGTGCACCGGGGCGGAGCTAGTCGCGCTGCTACCTGCGGCAGGTGAGAGGATCTCCAGGTCGCCACGTGTCGCAGCCTGTCGCCGAGGTGTCTGTCACGCCACTGGTCGCCGCTAATGTGGTGTATCCAGCGTGCCGCCATCGGAATGTACTTATTATGCAAGTAGAGCTCCGCGGTAGCAGCGGCCGCTTTCTTTCTGTACCAATTCCAATAAATGGACTTTTCCAATAATCTGCAATACTCTCACAATATTGAACTCAAACCCCTGAAACATAAATTGGAACCTCTACTAATCACCCCAAGCCAAATAACATCAAAACATTTGACTAACGGTACTCTACGATGCATCCGAGTCGTACATTGGCTACATACAGACACCGCAGTGTACGAGAAGCAGACAACATTCCTTCAACAACGTAGCTTCACGTCCCGGAGGTGGCACGTGAGGTGCAACAAAGCAATTTGTTGAGCACTCTACCTCACTCTCTCTCTGTCTCATCGTAAGAGGAATATTTTCTCATTACGTCAAAGATACGCGCGGAGTCTGGCTAATAATTTATTTAATTCTGTGCTTATACATTATTATCAATTCTTCCAGGGATGAATAAATGATTTTTATTAGTATCTAGTCGAACGGCCAAATGATGTATGTAAGGAACTTGTTTTAATTTAATCTCTTAGTACCTACTTAGTGTTTTGAACAAGTTTTTTACACAATATAGGTATGTAGAATAGACATTTATACGGCACCGACGCTTCGTAAAGAAGATATGAAAAATTGTCGTTTATTTTATTCAGTTTATTTTTTATATTATACGTATACGTTTATTTTAACACTTTCTTTTTCTAACAATTATTATTGTACAACATATAACGTAATTACCGCACACCCTCAAACACCACTAGAATATTATGTTATAATCATAATACTTACACTAAATTTTTAATTTAACATATATATGCATCCTTACTGGTCTTGTCATAAGGTTTATTTTTCTTTATTTTGTATTGAATGATAGAATTTGTATGAATACAAAATAAAACTGGGATTTTAAAAGTCTTATTGCTTTGACTTACGATCTATTTCGATTTGTTTAAGAATACAGGGCAATAATTTCCGTAGTTTTAATTATTTTTGAATTAAAAAAATTACGTATACTAAAAATTATATAAATCGATTCAGATAGCGATTCTGAACAAACTACTTTCAGGATGTGCGTTATTTAATCTACATGTTGTATATCTAATTCTCTTGTAACAAATAAGTACACGAATATTAGTTTTTCCGCGAATAATTCGTAAAAACCCTTTTTTAAGTGAGTAAATTGTAATGTCAGCAATTAAAAAGATAATATTACGTATACCTACTTACGTCAAATCAGTTCAGCAGTTTTTACTTTAAAGAAAGTTTAACTAAAACCCGCGCCGTGTTGTTCATTTGTTTTCGAACTGTATAAAGCTTTGGGTGTTCAAAACGACTTTCATGTTGAACAATTTTTTATTATAATACTACTATACTAGCTGACCTGGTAGTCTTTGTACCGGCTCAAACGTTGATTTTTTACCTTTCAAATCTGCCCTCCTGGACTTCCACAAATAGTTCGAGACCGAAATTACCCAAGTCGGTCCAGCTGTTTTCGAGTTTTAGCTATTATCAATAATTAATAAATGTCAGTTTCAGCCGATCAGTACGGCAGTGGGTAGCGCCCGCCCCTGCGGCAATGGAGCGCGCCGCTGCCGAGCTGCCGCCGCGGCCAGGCGCCTCGCCTGGTCTGCTGTGCCGCCGCTACTCCGTGCCCGAGACTATCATGAGGAAGTAAGTCATGAGGAAATTTTCCTTAAATAAATACCTATTATTAGCCAATACACGAGTAATTCATAATTATTTATATTGGACTATAAACCAGCTTGTAATGTTACTAATTTAAGACTTTTTCTTGTTGATTTAATGGCTACCCCTGGTCATCGGTTCTTCGACATATACTTAGGCGGTTTGATAAGTTAGTGACTGTTTGAATTTCCCGCGCAGTTATTACAAGTGCAACAGTGCTGCTGTCAACTGTAATCTATTAGTGGGCAACTGTCAAATTTTGAACAAGCTACGTCATGCAGTTGGTGTTTGATAGTCATTGAATGACTGACAACCTCGTGAATTTTTACGAAAATAGAAAAAAGTACATTTCGTGTGCTGATTAAGCATTACTTTTTAGGTAAAAAAACCATCACTGAAACTAAGGAAAGGCTTAAAAAATAGGTACTACCTACCATCCTCCTGTTAAACATACGTAGGTACATACATACAGGTCAAACTGACGTCCTCCTGTTAAACATACGTAGGTACATACATACAGGTCAAACTGACGTCCTCCTGTTAAACATACGTAGCTACATACATACAGGTCAAACTGACGTCCTCCTGTTAAACATACGTAGGTACATACATACAGGTCAAACTGACGTCCTCCTGTTAAACATACGTAGGTACATACATACAGGTCAAACTGACATCCTCCTGTTAAACATACGTAGGTACATACATACAGGTCAAACTGACGTCCTCCTGTAAAACATACGTAGGTACAGTAAGAACCAAAAGTGCATAGGAAATGTCAAAACACTTTTGCATAGAAATATTAGTGGCGCTTATGACCTTTTATATTTTTAATCTTACCATCGTTATCAAAATATGAGGGTAGATTTGAAACAAAGTGACAAATTCGCTTTAAACTGTCAAACACCAAGCGGTCACCGGTGACCGCAACCTATTGTTCTATAATTGTGTCTATCTATATATGTCCAATATTATACAGCTAGGAAGACACCAGTCAATGCGTGCTTCCTTGATTTGTCCAAGGCATTCGACCTGGTACAATATGACATACTTTGGGAAAAGCTGAGAAAGGAGAGCAGTGTTGACGGGTCAGTAATTTCGTTGCTTATGTATTGGTACAACAATCAGACAAACAGTGTGAAATGGGCGGGAACACTATCAAATGTCTATAGGCCAGAGTGTGGCGTGAGACAGGGGGGGATATCCTCACCACGCCTATTTAATTTGTACATCAATCGACTGATTGATGAGCTCAGCGGCACTCATGTAGGGTGTCACATTGACGGTACTTGTGTCAATAATATAAGCTACGCAGATGATATGGTGTTGCTGTGTCCGTCAATCAGCGGTCTCAGGTGGCTCCTAAGAAAGTGTGAAGATTATGCGGCGGCTCATGGGCTCAGGTACAATGCTAAAAAGAGTGAACTACTTGTCTTTAAAGCGGGCACCAAATGTTACTCGAATGTGCCACAAGTTACCATTTCTAATTCACCATTGACTAGAGTATCTCATTTCAAGTACTTGGGTCACTGGGTCACCGAGGATCTCAATGACAACATGGACATTGAACGTGAGCGCAGGGCGTTGGCTGTCCGATGTAATATGCTGATCCGCAGATTTGCGCGGTGTACAGGGGACGTCAAAACTACTCTCTTTAGAGCCTTTTGCCAGTCCTTTTACACATGCGCTCTGTGGGTCGGCTATACGAAGGGGGCATACAGCGCCTTGCGTGTTCAATACAACAATGCGTTCAGAATGTTGAATGGACTGCCACGTTTTTGTAGTGCATCAGCCATGTTTGCAGAGGCCAGAGTTGATGGGTTCCATGCAATCATACGCAAACGTTGCGCGTCCCTCCTCAGTAGAATGCGTGGCAGTTCACACAGCATCTTGAGCGTATTGTGTGATAAATGGGATAGTCCAATGTTGGGCCATTGGATTAGACTGCACGCGGCTGTAAAGTAGAATTAGTTTTGTTTATTTATATTATATTAAATTACTAACAATAGGTTAAGCTCATTGTTACTAACAGTTTATGGACTCTA